CGTAATAAAAAAAACATTGGAAAGACAATATTTTTTGTCGCAAAATAAATATTGTCATTTTTCATTTATATAAAAATGTTTCTCACTCTATCATTGTTTTTAACATGTACTATATTTTTTCTAAACTTATTCAATTTTTAACGAAGCGTAATAATTGCATAACAAACGACGAAGAAAATAGCATAAAGTATAAAGGATATGATAAAGAAAGTAAGGAACAACGGAACTCGAATTTCTTGAAATTCTCGAAATGGCACAAACTGTTGGCGGAACTTGAGTCGATTATTTTAATGCATGGAAAAACGGCACACTCGGGAAGTTAAAAGAGATAAGAGATAAACAATTGCAACAACAAAGGGTATCCTTGCCAAAAACTCTCTTGTATTTGATTATGATGTTATTACATTGTCCATCTGCTTCTTTGATTTTCGCTTAGAACAGATCAATCGAAAGGTATTATCTATAATTCGCAATCTTGCAGTTAACTATTCGTATTTCATAATGACTACCGCTAGAATCTGACGCTGATAAAACTCTATCGAAGAAAAGTTTATTAATCACTTATTAAAATAATAGTTGTTTAAATAACCTATGCGCTGCATGCAACATTCAAGAAAAACATTGAAAAAAATCTACTTTTATATGCGGTAATAACTTTTTGTGCATATAAATATATATTCGAGTTACAAAAATTTATAATATTATAAAAGAGAATATAAAAAGATATTTTTGTAAAATATTGTTTTACAAAAATCACAAGAGTATTATTTTACCAATTATAAACTTTCCAAATGGTGCAACGAAAAAGAAATTTGTAAAGCGGGATGATCGATAAAACCCTCGTAAAATAAATTATATCATTTGTTCAGCCAAAAATATGTCATACAACATAAATTATAGAGAAAAAGGAAACTTTGAAATAACGAATTGCGATTAATAAATTCCAGAATATAATTTCGTTAAAAGCCAGATAATGAACTAGCAGAAACAATTATCAAATTAGCAAAGTCGTTAACATTTCTGAATTTTTTATCTAATTAGTTCTAGATCATTCATGTATGCACATTATTGCTACTTACATTTTGAATCTAATATTCAAGGTAAATCTATGATTTATATTACGAAATGTACATATTTCATTAATTATATTAAATTGCAGGGTTGGCAAGTAACGCGTTACTTTTTACTCGTTATTTGTTACGAATAACAATTGACTTTTCTAACTCTAATGTTAGCATTACCGTCATAAAAAATTCACAATATCATTATTAAATCGTTATTATAAAATAACGATCAACAAAGAAACGACGTTACAAATAACGGCGTTTTGTAAAATAATAATAAAAATAATTTTTATTATTGCATTTTGTTAGAAAAAAAATCGATTAATTGTTTGAAATATTACGATCCCGTATAATTAGCATGTCAACAACAAATTCATATGTTAGAACGTTATTTAGTATATAAATTAATATTTTCTGTGTGTTTATTAACATATCATAATAATGTAAAATAAAATATTTTACTAGTCATAAATCAACTAATTACATCGTTTTCCTAATTTAATAATTTCATGGTGCATAAAAGTTATGCCAGCGAGGAAAAAATATAACGTATTTTCTTTAATTGAATTTGTTCTTTACGAATTGATCTATATTTGACTTATATTCTTTCGTAGTAATGATGAAACAAGAAGAATCGTGATCGAGCTAGGAGTATGAAGAAACATGACGGGAAAGAGAAATAACGAAAGAAAAGAACTAAAAAGAAAGAATTTTTCTAGGTACTGAGAGCAAATCGAATTCGCTTTTGATTCAAAACTTTTCGTTCTAACTATCGATGACTCTTTACACTTTGATTACGTTTCTGCGGTACGTAATAAAATTACAAACAAAACAACTTCGTGAATATATGATCTTCCTAGAAAAAAGTTAAATATCACACTCTCAAATATTACAGGTAGATAGTGTGCATGAAAAATATTTTATGAAAAAATTATTTAGTTTCAAGATAAAAAACAATTGAAGACATAATAAAGAGATTTTTAGCTACAAAAAAGAGAATTTTGTGAAAAAGATCGAGTAAGAATTAACCTTTAATTGGTTGCCCAAGAAAAATGGAGCTCCGAAACGTGCTCAATAGAAAATGGCTTGTTTCCTTTTCTCTTAACTCTTAACTCTAATGATAAAAGTTAGATATATGTGATGTAAAAAGTAATCTCTCATATATTATTTTTTTTTAAAAACATAAGCAAACGTTCCGCAAGTCGTAATTATGTTCAAATAATTAATAAATCCAATTGATTTAGTATCTTTGATTCAAACAAAATCAAGTTTATTTTTTAATTGTTAATCTTCTTCAAGAAGACGAGACGAAAAGCGAGGAGGCAAAAGTAGACGCAAAAGATTCTTCTCGACGTTGGGGAACACGCAGAAATACATGGAGAGTTCTTCTTCTGTTTCGAAAGTTCTACTTGCCGTTCAACCATCGACGCTTGTACCACACGCCTTCATACCTTGTAGTTTGAGGGATATTGGTTTTCAATTTGCATTCTCCCAATAGTCGGTCATGCATCATTCCGAAGTTGCAAACCACCACGAAACCACGAAGCAGATCCTCCCACTTGGTGCCATACCGGCGCGAGTTTAGAATAAAAAAAATGGAACGATAACGCCTGCAAAAACAAAGTCTTGACTGTCAAGAGTAAAGCACGACGAAGCGGATGACGAACTCACTGCACCATACCGTGCTTCGGAAAACCAGTCGATAAATATTTGATGGCGTCTGAAAGCAAGTTAATCTTGTAGACGTGCGGGCGTACATTTGGATGAGTACTCATAGGTATCGTGTTTAAACTCGATCGATCACCTAGAGCACACGTGTCCAAGAATAGACAAAGAACTAGTAGACCAAAAGAACAGATATATAATATTATATAAGACATACTAAATATATACTATATCCTCTGTCATAAGACGTATTGTGTTTGCTTTTATGAATTATGAAACAATTGTCATTGTAAAATTGGAGTTGTTAGAAAAATCTTATAAATTAAGCGTATAAACAGGCAATAATGAAAATGATAAAGAAATCTTTAATTTCACCTTGCATAAAAAATTTTTTTCCGATTTTCCACTGTATATAAAATATTAATATTGTATAATAACATTTGATGAACTATAATTTTTATGAAATAAATCTAATCTTTTTTGTGTCTTTACAAAACGGTCTTAGAAAATATAAGAGTATCGGGTACACCTTTCGAAGATCAATGGAGTTTAGTCACTTTGCTCCGGGTAAAGTTAATAATGAAGTGAAACTGAGATGCCTCTTCGATCTTGGTTCTTGCAATGAAACTTTGACTTCGAATTCTCAGCGAAAGTTTTGTGCTATTGTTTCAGAAGCGAAAGACATACAAGAAATTTTCACGGTAATGATTCATAATAACCGACATATGTATCAGATTCAGTTAAATGATATAATAAACGTGCAATTAAAAGTACAAATATCTATAAAAGTAATGATACAATAGATCAACTGTATATTAATAATCAGCATGCTTAGAATACTATAATGAGAATCTGCAAAAAAATTCAATAATAAAAAGAGTTTCTGATAGATTATTCTATTATATAAATATAGTCCATTTTTCAATCTTATGAAATTCCTGATATATTTTTAATTTAAGACTATTTTGTTCTCGTTTCGTTATTGATAATAAAAAAAGCGATCGTGTATCAATGTTTAATGGCAAAAATGCTGTAAAATTATAACTAAAAATGTCATAGTTTTTAACTCAATGTAAAATCAATAAGAAATAGTATTAGTTAAAGGGTATCGTTCGCTGAAGTGCATTCCGGCAACCATTTAACGATAGTTAGCAAGCGCTCATCGAATCGGTCTTTATTTATCGGCCCAACGGAAAACCGTTTCGTACCGCGACACGTTGAAAAGCTTTGGAAGGTGGAAGCACGTTTGAGAGGAAATTAGATCGGGCAATTTCCGTGTCCACCAGCAGCATGGGCAGTTGACGATGGATGAAACAGGACGTCGAGAAAAGAGATAGATGCGCAATGTGTAACTACCCATGGTGTATTTATTTGAACAGTTTTACGGAATTAGACCATTTAAAAGAATTTAATTAGATGATGTTTAACTAGTGACATGGACTGAGAAAAAAAACAGAAAGAAAAAAAGAGAGAGAGAAAATGAAAAGAAAGAGAAAAAGAAGAGCAACATTTCTAGCTTGATTTTTGAGATTTCATTAAACGCTTTGAGTTTGCATACGTAATCCCTTCAAGCAATATTTAACTCTAACTTATTCTTTTCCAAATATTTAAACAAAATTTTTTTAAATAATGGATCACGTCAGTAAGATTAAATTCTTTTACGTTACCGATACAAATTTTAGTAAAAAAAAAAAACGTTTATAGAAAGATAAATGATATATAATAAAATCACGTAACTTTTTCTACATTATTACAATCATAATGTCTTGAACATGGTGTACGATATCTTATCATCTCTCTTTCCTCGTAATCAAGCTTTTGAAAATCGTCGAGTCGATGATGTAAGCTGTAACACCTGACCATACGCGCATTCCAGACATGAGTAATTAATCTAAGCTCATCAGGCGAATGGCTACCGGTATCACTACCATCGTATCGCCGCGGGGTTAGCAGCAGCGGCAGCAGCAGCGGCAGCAGCAGCGGCAGTGGCGACGGCAATGGCGATGGCGATGGCGACGGTGGTGGTGGTGACAAATTACCTGGACGCGCGTGGCACCCCGCGTTTGAATCGCGGATGCAGTTGATACGGGCTGCTCGGCACGCTTGGCAGATACACAGTTAGCGTACCATTGCGTTCTCTACGGTTTGGTGTGTACCATTCGTGTTCTCTACGGCCCAACGACGAACTCGCGAACGGAACTTCCGTCCGTTCGCGTATCACGTGTGAATAAAACGAATCGTACGGATGTTCGTTTCCGCAAATGTGATTTTGGCGACTCTGCCGATGGTCAAGCGATTCGAATACCGCGAATAGATTTGGTAAATGAGATTGGCTTATTTTTATTCGTACAGGAAACTCTTTCAAATCCAAATCTTGACTTGCGAAGAATAATTCTGAATAATTCTATTTTTTAAATACTAATTTAAAAGCAAGATAAAGTATCAGAAGAAAGTCGCCGATGTAAGCCTTTTGAAGAGATACTCATTTACTTCTCTTGCAAACTAAATATTTAATTAACATTAATAAACTTTATTAAATGTATTCAATTAATAAATTTTAAATGTATGGCATAAATGCTACTTTTTCTTAAAATCTTTGCATTTATGTAAATATTTGAAAATGTCTTGTATAATGTTTACAAATGTGCCCTCTTTTGAAACTAACTATCAGTTTTTAATTTTCGACTTAGTAAAAATTAAATAATTTGTAGTTTCCTAAAATAATATTTATATTTTTCTATTTAATTTCTTTATAAAATTTTATTTAAAAATAAAAGTGCTTCTGAATTTATAGGAAAAACCTTCAAAAAAACTGTCGCGTTACACGTTTCTTACAAAACAGTATAAAGCGAAGCATAAAGTATGCAGATAAATCAACAAAGAATGTTTTACGTCAAAATGAAAAAATTTTAAAAATTTTTATATACATTAAGTTGTAGAAATAAAATAGTATGACAATATTAGTAACCTTCCTGTATGTAATATTAGTAACCGTCCTATAGTTTTGCACAATAATGGACGAAAAACTCTAGTTGTTTTTAACAAATTACATTTTCTTAAACAAGATTTGCACAAAAAAATAATAAAAAATTATTGGTTTGTCTGTTTGTCACAATAAATGTAGATAATTATAGAATTAATAAAAGTTACAAAATTATAAAATCTAGAAGAGATAAGAGTCATTTTTAAATTTATGATCATTGGAACAAGCCATTTTTCATCCATTTAGAGTTATCGGATTTATTGAACAAATATCGAATCTTTCCTACATTCATATCCTACATAAAGAGCAAATGAGAGAATTATTCTCATAAACTTCTATTTATAATATATATTTTTAGTATTTTATAATTATCGAACTACGAATGGAGTTCTTTTATTTCTGTCTTTAACAAAATATCAAATAAAAATTATTTGATCTTAAGATAGATATGAGATGTAAACTCTCTTCTAAAATTTAATATGCTAATATATTTCAAAATTCATATGTGTTCTATAAATGAATCTCTTAAATAATGAAATCTAATATTTAAATTATTATTCGATAATTAATAGTTTGTAAAAAATTGTGATTTTATAATCTAATAAACAATTTGCCAAAGCAAGTAATATTAATTAATTGTTTATCATAACTATTCCTAATGTTTTCTTAAAACAAAAATTTAATACGTTTCTTTCGCTTATTTTAAGTGAGGTAAATATACAGCATAAATACATAAATTTTGAATGTTATTACTGAATAATTAGTGAATGAAGTAAGCTGCAAAGTATTTTATATGTGTAAAAATATGTGTGGCATAAAGGTGTATCACTGGAATAATTACTTGCGCACTTGTGTAGCACAATTTTTTTTACTATGTCAACTGCTTGGCATATTAGATGAACTAAATGTTGAAATGATGATATCTTCGTACGTGATGATTTATCAATTTATTACCAATTTATTATTTTAAAATAATATAAATAAACGAAATTGCACATATGTAGTTTTTTTTAATTGTTCAGAACAATCGTAAAATAAAATTTTATCGAGCTTGAGATAAATGTCAAAGATCAAGACCGGAAGAGATTAGAAGTATCTTCGATCCGATTGAATTCTTGGAAGAATAGGATCAGAAAGTGGAAGACTCGCTCTTCGTATGAAAAGACGGAGATGATACTTGTAACGCCTTTTATACGTCCTCGATACAGCCAAAAGTTTCTATGGCTGTGCAAAAAGCGTACAGCTTGAAACGATTTAAGAGATGACTAACGCCCAAGACCAGTACAACAAGCTCTGCAACAAGAAAGAATAGCTAGCAGAGAGAATTCGCTTCGAACTTCAAGCTTTAACTCGAAGCGATTAACTTACAAAATCAATTGAAAAAAAAAAAAACTACATCGTGCAGAAAACTGCCCTGCATATCGTCACGTGTGTTACGGTCACATAGAATACAGTCACATTGGTGGTGCCCAGCCACAGCGTGTCGTCTGTATCTTTTAACGATGCACTAAAATTGACTAAAAGCTCTAACAGATCGTTACAACAACGATATCGAGCGCAGCACATTCGTGGCTGGGGTTAAACTCTACCGATCGTTGCGTCGGCATTTCGTCGCGTTAAATGCGCGACCAGTCAGCTCATGCGACTAACGATAACCTTTCGACGACGACTGTGTTCTGGTCGAGCGCTTCCGGTCCGTATAAATGTGTCATATGTCTACGCAACACACACGTTCGCAGCTAGCAAACGCTCCAGTGAGCAACGTATGACACCGCTCTCTCCGTCAAGCTCGATTTATCACTCACTCATACCACCCTCGAGTCCCGCTGTTGCTACGACCAGACTGGTTATTCGTAATTACTCGCGTGATGGGGAAGCTCGTTTCTCAAAGCGGATGGATAGACTAACGGAGAAGTTATATCGTTGTTGGAATCTATCTTTCCCATGGGACGATGCTATGTGCTGACATTACGAATTCTTCATAGATAAATACCGTTTTAGTTCGTAAGAAAAGCAAGGAAGGATTACATATATCGTAAAAGTTTTGCGAATTAATTTTCTCGAAAATTTGTTTGACGGAAATTAAAATATTTTAAAATTTATTAATATTGATGATAACAAAGATGTAAGATGATAAGTATGATAATGATATTATTTATTGAAAACAAAGCGTTTCGTCAAATTAGAGAGAATAAAACGAAAGACGCTCAAAAGTACTAAAAAGTAGTGAAGTAACAATTTTTATATAAGATAAACAAAAATAATTAATTCACAAAAAATACGAAATTCTAAAATCCAATAATAATGAAATAATTTAAAATCAAACGTAAATTAAGGCATTAAATCTTAAATTGAATAGTTTTTTAACAGATAAATTTTTCATTCATATTCTCCTTAAGCCATTCGTATGTAAAAATTTGTTGAAATTGTGGTATTTTGAATAAATGATCTTTTTTATGTACGTATTTGAAAAATATTGAGTTAGGAATTAAATTATATATAGATATATAGTTTTTGAACTTTCCATAAAATTCTGTGAGCTGTAACGGTTAATTGAGAGATCACAGTAATTAGAATTAGAAGAAATATAATCGGACTTGAGCTTGACTCATGGTGAGATTCATCAAGAGCCTTGCAAATGAGTATCGCAATGACGAGGCTGTAGGTAATCGTCCGTTAAATGATCGCGCTCGCCATGCACGCATGAAAGGCTTGCAAGCACGTGTAATATAATTTGCTCGGATTTGCTTGGAAATACAGTTTCATCGATCTTTTTCTTCTATCATTTTTTTTTCTTTATCCCGCTATCATGTCACTCTTGGATATACAACATAATTTGTCGATCAATACTCTGACAATCGAGAAACATGCTCGAGTCATGCCGAGCCGAGGCATCGGGCTACCTTCTGATAATAACTAAAACTTTCCTGTCAGCTATGTATACGCCATGCGACACTACGAAGCGCACGTTATTAGTGTCGTGCACAATATGCGCACAGAGAACAGACATCCCTCTTTGCCCCTTTCTCATCCAATTCCGGTCAGTCGCCCCGCGCTACAGTCTACACGCAACATCGCGCTATGGACCTCTCTCCGGTTCTCTATCGGCGGTACAATATGTGCGGCGCATTGTAATCTATGAGCCAGCTAGCGCCTAGGTCGCCGCCGGCAATGATGATATCAAACGCAGTGATTGACGCTCCATACCCACGATCTCGTTTCTCGTAGCCAAACCGGTCGGCGCAACCATCGTCATCGGGCCACCATGATCATACGCTTGCAGTCGCATCGTGCGTGTAACAACGTAGAGAAGCTGAATTATCCGGCGTATGTTTGTGCGATTAAGTTCGAACGACCTTCCGGTCTCTCGTTCGCACAAGCGTGAAATGAATCCAAAACAAGAATTTGGCGCTGATCCGATGGTATGAGTGTGTTAAGAGAAATATCGATTGTACTGTCTGATAGCCAGTCAAAAACTGATCGCGGTCGTACGTTCATATATTTTATATTGTGTTATTTTCTAACATTCTCATGATTCTGGGTCAACACACAATCGATTATGAGGATTGTACGTTTCTGCCGTTAAAAGGCAAGGTAATTCAATGTTTTAACGAGCAACCTATATCTCAAATATGCCCGAAGATAAGACATAATCGATTTTCTTTAAATGCGCAAAAAATGCATGTTTACAATATTTTTTATTTTTAAAAATACATATGCCCCTCGATTTGGTTAAAAAAAAATATCTTCTCAGGATAAAAAAAATATATATGCACGTAAAAATCAAAAATGATGACAAATTTTTGCGCAATGATTTAATCGTGCAAAAAAAAAACAACGTGTGCATTTCTTTCACGGCAGTCAAGATTAAATAAAAATCGATGAGGCACACAAAAGCCAACGAGACTGCGCCGCTTTCGACATCCCGCGAATTTATATCGCTAGCGCGAAAATTTACAGGCACACGACTATTCCAGCAAGCTGCATATTTTTTCACCCAATCTGGCCATTGTCCGCGCGTGATAACACCAAGAACATATCGATGCATCGATCTTTCATTCATCCGTTTATTACGTGATAAAAGCATGAAATATACAGTGCATGAAAAAAAGTTCTTGGTTTCTATTTTTTATTTTGATACTTCTATGCTATTTTATAAAGACATTTTAATTTTATCTAATATGTAGTATCATTAATCATTAGCGTTTGCTAATCGTGATCATCATTACTAATCATTCTAGTACAATGTTATTTTCAACATTTCCGTCACTTTATCCTTTTTAGTCGGCTGGTAAGCGGACGTAGAAGCATTCCATTCATAGGAGATCTTTAGGAA